AACAAAAACGGGGGAGAGGCATTCATCCCAGCAACGAGCCTCCGAAATGGGTGAGAAATGAGAGCATAAGCTTCATTCCTTTTTTTTTTGTTTAACTACATTTGCCAGTACGACAGTGCGCGGAAACTCCCTTTCTCCCCCCTTTCCACCCATTTGCCTCCGAGCTGTCGTTTTCTTTGTGTCATACTTGCCCCTCTGTTTGCCTCGCTACCGCACTTCTGCGGCATCGTTCCGCGACACTAACTAGTTTTCGCTTCACAACGCAAACGCACACTTCGCCGACAAAGCACAGAACAACGGCTTCTTTTATATATGTATATATATAAAAAAAGGTGCATGTCTTAACCCTCCCTACGTGTCAACGGCGTCTGCACCCCTTCCTTTTCCCCTTCGCTTCACGTGACGCACACACGCAGCGACCCCGTCTCCCTCGTCGCCCCCGAACTATTGTCACTCGTTCGGCACAACGGTTCCTCTATCATTCCATCTCGATACTCATGTCCGAGGGGTGCACAGTTCGCCAAAATAATTAAAAGGAAAATAAAAAAAAAGAGGGGGAAGAAACTGCAGGAAATCAACAGCAAAACCAAAAAAAAAAAAGTAATCCCCTCCGCGAAACCACACTTATCTGCGCGAAGTCCCTTATTCCACAGCGGGCGTGCGCCTCATAGACGAATTGGCAGATACGAGGTGCGAGGGGCAAGGTAGAAAAAAGCGGTACCGTAGCTGGAGAGGGACGCGCTGAGGCGGCCTGCTGGCAATGTGTGTAGGAGCCAGTTTTGAGGCCTGTAATCCAAGGGATAAAAAAAAAAAAACAATCGGCGCTCAGCTTTACAGGAACGAAACACAAGGGCACACATGCACCGCAAGAGTGGATCCGGGAAAAATAAACAAATACACAAAAAACTGGGAAGGGAAAGCGGAAGTGAGAATTCTCCATGTGGTGTCTTGTGACTTTTCTTTTTGTACTTTAATGTTACCGAGCTTCATCAGTCCCCTTGTCCGCTCTGATATCAGATGAATTTGTCACTATTCCATTTTCAAGTTCGCGCTTGTTTGTTAGTTCGTTAGTAAGCCCCGTTGTGTTGTTTTTTCCCTTTGTGTGTGTGTGTGTGTGTGGGTTGGCGCGTACAGTGAGTCCCTTCAGTTTCCCTTGCACGGCCTTCATTCCAGTCGTTGGGGGGGTCACCCATTCAGAAAGTACTTCCCCGACTGCTTGAGCTGTTGCAGCACCTCCGTGTGGCAGGAGCGGCGTCGCGCGAACTCCTCCGTGCAGTAGCTGTACGTCCAGTGACGCTTGCCTCCGCCCCATATCATCATCGACGAGAGCTTCGACAGCACCTGCTGGTAGGGATCGGGCGCAAGACTGAAAAGTGCGTTGGCGCCGATGTACTCCATCTCCACTGCGAGCATGATGCGCTTCCACCTCTCAATGTTTTCCTTGCGTTGCGGGTCTCTGTGGTATGCGGCGGAGACGAGTTGTTTTAGCATCAGGCGGTGATCCTCGCGCGAAACCTGCGCCTTGCGTGCCTCGCTGAGGATAATGTTGTGGAGCTTCGATTGGTGCCACGCCGCCACACGCCGCATGTCGCGCTCAAGATCCATGCCGCTGGCGCCGTTGTCGGGCGCAGCAGAATCGCGGGGAACGAAATCCGAGAGCGGGGAGATCCGGCCAGAGTCATCAGGCTCGGCTTTCATCGGCATGCCGACACCTTTGAAACAAGCCCCAGGCAGAACGTGATGCACGGCGCCCTTGCCCAAGGCGGCACTGCGGCACTGCGGCACTGCGGCACAGACGGTGTACGACGTGGAAGAAGCACAGAGAAAGAGAGCGAGCAAACGAGAGGGAATAAATGGGACAAATGGCGGGCCGGCATTCCCCGTGGCGCCTAGCCGCGGGACAAGGAGCCCCACGCAATACAACATAAAAAAAACAGGCACACAACAGAGGAAAAAAAAAGGCATAAAAAGTATCTGCATGCGAGAGAAACAGAGAGAAAGAAAGAGAAGGAGAGTGTGGAGGGAGACACAAACAGAATGAAATTGTAAGAATGGGCGCACACACATATAGACACCGCCTCCCCCCTGCTACTTCGCGTCCCTTCCTTCCCTCCGACGGCAGTTGCACGGATAGTCCCCCTATTGGTTCCTCGTTTTCAAGGCATTCCTTTTCTTCTTTCATCGTTTTCACCCCCCCCCCCCGTACCTTTCTTCTCCCCATTGTGTTTTTCATGCCTCAGTTTACGGAGGGTTGCGCGTACACAGATTACGCATGCGTGCGTATGTGGATTTGCCTCCCCCCCACTCAATTTCGTCCCTGCCACTGCGGAAGCCGTGCGGACGTGGCGGTAGGCTAGCACACCACCCACCTTCACGACACACCCGCGCACCCGAACATGGCTTATACTCTCGTGGCGTTTTTCTGTTTTTTTTTTCTCTTTTTTTTTTTTTGCGGTTCAAGAAGAAAAAAAAAGAGAATTCTAGGCAATTTCACTTGGCGAGTTTGGAGCGGCGAATCAGCAGGTCCACCTGACTCTGCTCTGCACGGTACACAAAAAATGGAAAGAGCGCAGGAATGACACAAAGAAGACTGTACGCCACAATTTCACGGGCATAACGCTTGTGCAGACGATCGTAGCGGTCCCGCGTCACAACCGAAACAACGCCACGGAAACTCTCGTCGTCGTAGCTCTCCCCCAAGAAGTATGCATTGCCCTCACGGATGATATTGCTGTATGCCGTCTGTGTGGCCGGCCGCCCTTGCTGCAGGGAATATGTCACCTCAGCGACGCCAACGGCGTAGTTTCCGAGGTCCTTCGGTGTAACCGTGTACTTGAGCACAGCAGACTCCCCAAAGGAGAGAATGTCTACACGCTTTGTACGTGTTGTGCCGTCCACCAACAGGTCTGTGATTGTGACATTCATCGCGGGGCTCTGGCCGTAGTTGTGGACAGTGACAGTAAACTCCACGCTGCTGCCAACTACCACGTAGTCGTCTGAGACGGACTTGGAGACGAAGAGAAACGGCAGCGCATCGGACTGCGCCAAGGAACCCACGGCTGTGGCGGCTAGTAGGGCAAAGACAACTAGCACCCACCGCATGGCTTGCATATTTCCTTTCTTGATTTTGCCTTTGTTGGTTTCTTGCAGAACAATCCAAACGAAGTTCAAACATCGTTCTTCGGCACTGCGGCGCACACGGTATAGACGACCCGC